ACAACCGACAAGGTACCTACACGTACTTCTTACATAACGTCAACGATGCGTTCCGCTATTCCATAGCATTTAAAGATTTTCCACATCGTCAGAAGAAGTAGTGTATCAAATGAAGCTGAAAGTCGAGAAAACTAGCAAATCAATGCAACTGGAACCATCGGCATTACCTAACGATTCTGCGGAGAGTGGAAATTCTGTCCTGACAGGAACACGCCATCAAGAAGCCTGCTTGATTTGGGCGAAATTTCCTGTCAGAGGCCTGTCCCAGTCCTTCCACGTTCATCCATAAAAATTTCTCGGGAGTTAACTGCTGTGTGATACAATGATAACAGGAACACTGTCTTTTCAACCCTTTTAAATATAGGGACAAATACTCCATGCCTTCAATCTTCAAGGAAACGTTTTGAGGCAAACGTATGACGAAATGGGACATAGAACTTTTCTACCATTCCCGTTTCTCTATACTTAATTAGCTCCGGAGGAATCTGATCCAACTGCAGGCCAGCGTCACCTTAAGGTGTAGCAAGTCTTCACGCGGTATGCACGCCATATAGATGTTGCTTACTCTGCCATAAATAACGAGGAACTCCTGGATGATAGTGTAGGAATGGAGGCAGGTGCCCCACCATTAAGTTCATGAAATGAAGGGGCAAGAAAGCCTCTGTGGAAGAGACTGACATCCCAGCAATTACAACGTTTTCTTTCCTTCCTCAAAAGCTTGGATACACAATTCCGATACGGACAATCCTAAACATGCACCAAGAAGGTCCGTCGTCACGTCTTTTCGGTTTTACATAATTAACAGAATTCAGTATTTAGTTAGCCCGTGATTAATGTAATTTAATGACGTTCACTTACCAGTCTACGTTGTACTAACGTATTGCGCATTTTTCACTTCTGCACAAAACGAGACAAACAACCTTAGTCGGAATTCGAATACGAATCTTTCAACGACAAATCCGGGCTATCGACAGGTTTAAATAGATAGATTCGTCAATACGGCAGATGAAGCGCTCATGAGCGGCTGAAGATAATCCAATTAAGCTACCGTTTTGCTTACCTTCTTGGAGTGGTCTGCAGCCGGATCACACTGAACCATATATGGTATGCAATAACTTTCATTGGGATTAAACACGCTTTTGCTTTCAAGAATGGATAAGTAGGAGTGCAGGACAAAGTCAGAGTCTACTTATGCGTTAAAGTCAGGAGTCCAGAGAGGCACACAAAAGCGCACGCGTCATGCAAAAGCAACGACAAACTTTTAACTTACAGTCTAGGTGCTTTTTCTTTGGGCCCATTATTTCCTCAGTGGTAGCCTTGCACACCGTCTTGCCCAGTTGAGAACCGGCTAACGAGTGGTACGCGGCAGTCAGACGATCGTTAATTGTCTGACCGCTGGCCGTGAACGGCATTGGCACGTGCAAAACCTTGTCCATCCTTCGTTACGTCACGTCAACGATTGGCAACCTAAAAATGAAACGTACAAAAGGCGAATCGCCTAAACAGCATTGGATTGCGCGCACAACACACTGTTAGCCTTTGATCTGAACAAGCATCGAACCAGAAAACGCGAATCAGAAATTAACAACAGTGTTTACGACTGACTACAGCGCGACATAAAGCATCGCCAGGAATATTTGACAGCCTTCGTAAGAGATGAGAAAAAAATTCTTTGCCAGCCCATTTCGGTACAGGTTGTCGGTAGCACGTCTAAGGATTCGGAACAAATGTGCTATTGCGCGATTTCGTTTTACAACGCAGAAACACCACAAAAAACTTTTCCTACGAAAGCTTCATCGAAACGTCGATACATCAAACTAATTAAACGAGTCTTTAATAGAGAAAAAGTAAAATGTGCTTTCCCACCGAGGTAAATCAATATGTTCTCAGAATTACACGTTAGTTTCCGTACAGCGCAATGGACCACATCGTGGATGGCATTAGATATTGGCACCTGTGTGTTTCGATTTCGACTTTCTTCTGCAGCAAACCTCGCAATTTCGCCAACCTCCCGATCCAGTCTCTAACTGCAGTATATTTAGTCTATCGTCATTCAAGTTCGTTCGATATGACAGCCATTTTGGTTCCTTGTATGAAGTAATTCTCTTCAGATACTGGTTGTCATTGACTTTTTTGGATGAATCTCGGCTTCGGAACTTGTTTTGGCCATCCACGCCCTATATCGCGTAGCCTATCAAGCAAGCTGCTCTGTTTTACTGATCTTTTGGAAAGGCCGCATTACGGCATACCTGACATATAAGTTGAGAGTATTTGAGAGCTAAAAAAGTGCGGCCATATCTAAAAGGTATGCGGACTTTTCTGCTCGGTTAAGGGCGCAAACGCGAGGTTCTTGGACCAAAGCAAGCTAATTCACTGAAGCCCAGAACATAAAGCCGACTACACATGCTAACAGCATCTAAAATGCGCCAGACATGAAGCTTACTTAAGTGAAGAAAAACAAGATCTTG